TGTCATATCTGGGATTCCACATATGTGATATCATAAAATATCTGCCTTTCTCTTCCTGACTTGTTTCATTCAGTGTGATAATCTCTAGGTCCGTCCATGCTGCTGCAAATGGCACTGTTTCATTCTTTTTATGGTTAAGTAGTATTTCTGCTTTACTGACTACACCAAAGCCTTCAACTGTGTGGATCACAATAAACTGTGGAAAATTCTGAAAGAGATGGGCATACCAGACCACCTGACCTGCCTCTTGAGAAACCTGTATGCAGATCAGGAAGCAACAGTTAGAACTGGACATGGAACAACAGACTGGTTCCAAATAGGAAAAGGAGTACNTGGCTATTGAAATAGTGCTACTATAAGCACTGGGATGCATGAATCTTTTCAAAATTAGAGTTTTCTCAGAATATATACACAGGAGTGAAATTACTGGATGATACAGCAACTTTATCTTTGGTTTTTTGAGGAGCCTTCATACTGCTTTTCCGTAGTGGCTGCACCAGTTTACTTTTGCACCAACAGTGTAGGAAGGTTCCCTTTACTCCTCACTCTCGCCGGCATTTGCTATTTGTAGACTTTTTAATGATGGCCATTCTAACCAGTTTGATTGGGTTTAAGAGTATTTTGTTGTTGTTATTGAGTTGTATGAGCTATTTATATATTTTGGAAATTAAGCCCTTGTTGGTTGCATCATTTGGAAGTATTTTCTCTCAGTCTGTAGGCTGTCTTTACATTTTGCTTATGGTTTCCTCTGCTATGCAAAAGCTTCCAATTTTAATTAGGTCTCATTTTATTACTTTTACTTTTATTTCTTTTTTTTTTTTAGGAGTGATTTCTGCTTTTATTTTTATTGCCTTGGGAGACTGTGCAAGTAAAAAATTTCGATCTTTATTGTTTCCTAGAATTGAGGGGTTTATTTAAAAAATATTTAGAACTGTAAGAAATTAAATTACAATGTCCAAATATAACAGTTACCTGAGACATAGTCTTAGGCACAAGACTTCCTATTTGTTGAAACGTCACCATACACCAGGCTCAGAGCTAAGTAGACTATGTGCATTATTTCATCTAATCCTTACATTAACCCTAGGAGATGAACATATCAAACTTATTTATTGATGAAAATGATGAGACTTTAGAATTAAGAAATCTGCCAAAGTCCTGCTGGGGCGTGAACTGGGAATTAAATCAAAACTCTCAATAACTGTTATTCTATTACATTGAAGTATGTGTCTCCACATGATTAGTACGCTATCCATAATTTGTTAGTTCTACATAAAAAGCTAAACTTTACATCAGCCTGGAATCCAGAACAGAGGAAATTGAGTAATTCAGGTGCAGTGACAAGCATCTAGCTCCATAATCAATAATAAAAACAATCACTGACATTTACTTCCCACAAATGCCAGTCACTGTTCTAAGTATTGCTGTTGTTTAGCCACTAAGTCGTGTCCAACTCTTTTGCAGCCTCATAGACTGTAGCCTTCCAGGCTCCTCTGTCCATGAGATTCCCCAGGCAAGAATACTGGACTGGGTTGCCATTTCCTCCTCCAAGGGATCTTCCCAACCCAGGGATCAAACCCACATCTACATTAGCAAGCTGATTCTTTACCACTGAGCCATCAGGGAAGCCACTGTTCAAAGTACTTTACATGTAGTAACTTAGTTAATCCTTATAAGGCAGATACCATTTGTATCTTTTAAAAACAGGAAACTGAGGCACAAGGAGTTAAGTTACTTACCTAAGTTCACATAACCAGTAAATGGTGGACCTGGGACGTAGAAACCAGGCAGTCTGGCTCCAGGTGCTTTTCAAATTTGGTTTTGAAATCTTTTGTTTGTGATCAATACGATGCTTTTGAATGCTGCTGAATCAATATTGGGCTTCCCTGGTGGCTCAGGAGTGAAGAATCCACCTGCACTGCAGGAGATGCAGGGTCGATCCCTGGTTCAGGAAGATTCCCTGGAGGAGGAAATGACAACCCGCTCCAATATTATTGCTAGGACAATCCCATGGAAAGAGGTGCCAAGTAGGCTACAGTCCATGGGGTCACAAGAGTCAGATATGACTTAGCAACTAAATCACCACCATTTCTGGGTCAACTTATAAAAACAGTCCCTCATTAAGTTATCTTGGGCTTCTCAGCTGGCAGTGTGGTAAAGAACCCACCTACCAATGCAGGAGACGCAGGAGGTAAGAGAAACGTTGGTTCAATACCTGGGTCGAGAAGATCCCCTGCAGAGGGAAATGGCAATCCACTCCAGTATACTTGCCTGGGAAATTCCATGGACAGAGGAGCCTAGCATGTTACAGTCTATAGGGTTGCAAAGAGTTGGACATGACTGAGCGACTGAGCATGCACGAATCAACATTAGGCCATGCTTCTAACTTCCTCATTTCAAAGAAACGAAAGAACAAACAAACAAAAGGAAAACCCTAAGAGAATTTGTTGCTAGCAAATCTGCCTTGAAAAGTATTACCTAAACAAAAAGGAAATTGTAATAGAAGACTTGGAACTTCAGAAAGGAATGTTAAACATCAGGGTAAATGTAGTGGACTATCCTATGTTTCATGAGTTTCTTAAATATTTGATTGTTGAAGCAAAATTATAAGTCCTCCTAATATGGGTCTCAGTGTATGTAGAAAAAATGTTTCAGAAGGGTAAAAGGATGTAATAGAAGTACATTTTCTACACTTTACTCAAAGTGGGAGAACATCAACACGGGTAAAGGGTATTACCATGTCCTTAAACAATGGACAATAAAACAGCTGCCAAAATATAATCAAGCTTCAGATTAAACAAAGTTCTATTGCTCTCTGTTTCAACAATGACTGTAATTGAACTACATAAATCATTAAACTACAAGTCATTGTTATCGTCACATGTTCCTCAAATCTACCTCTAGGACTCCTTGAAAATCATTTAAAATGGGTTTTTGTGGGTGAAGACCAATGAATAAGATTAATATATGCAAGTCAGGTATGTCAGGGTGCTGAAAATAAGCACAGTTCTAATGTAAAAGTGTCACACAGTCATAGAGCCATGGTAATGAGGTTCAAGTTCTAAGAAACACAGTGTGCTAAAATAAAATAAATAGAACTATAAGTGGTAACTGGCTTATAAAAAAACAGTAACTATAACAGAATCACACAGAAATAAAAACATGACTTTTTGTACACGTACACATACTATAAAAATCATCTAAATTATTGAAATTGTCAGGAAATATCACATATGTATAAGAAATTCTCAAAGACATAACTTTTGAATAGAATGTACTTTATAGATAACAATAACTGAAAATAATGATGCTATTTTTAACAGCAGTCATTTTAGCTGGTCTTTTCCTGGAATGAATTACTACATAATTTTCAGTACATTCCTCCCAGCATTCTTTATTTCTACTCAAATATTTTTATTCTGACATACAATTTTCTTATACCTTAATGTTTTAATTTTTCAGACAGCAAACCCACAAAATACCATGATCATTTTGTGACCTACAGACAGGAAATGCAAGACTTCGAATTTTAACTTTTCATTATCAATGATCCCTGACTGATCTCACATAAACAACTTGAGTTAAAATTATCTGTTTACATATATGTAAACATGAAGTAAAAGGAAATTCTAAAGGCATGCTCAGATCCAATTGTGGTCAATGGCCTGTATGCCTGTCTTGAAAGTAAATTTATGCCAACTTCTTTGTATACAGAACTACAGCTATAGCATTCCAGGTTATAATATAGGTTTTATATCACCCATGGTTTGCCTGTATAATTAACGAGTATCATAATGCTGTGAGTTTTCTGAAAGAGGGAGGACCTCTAGTATAATCTTTCCCATGTTTAATTTTGAAGATAGATTTCTACATTTATATATTTTTCAAGTATTCCAATTTCTGGAATTCAGCAACATCTGATAAGGACATAAAAAATTACAAATACTTCCCAGTGCTTTTCTTCCCATATTTTATTGAATAACCAGGGCCATGTGGTACACTGGTACTCATTCTCAGGAAACCTTCATCTTAGGCATCTTTAGGCCAGCTTGTGTTTAAACAGTCTCGGGCATTCAAAAAAAGAATTATCGAGTGCCTCAGTGACAGACATCGGGAATACTAACTAAAGATGAAGCCTCAAGTTGTTTATGGATAGGTAACCAAAATAATTATATTAAAGTTGGTAAGTACCAGATAAGTCAATTATAGGCTCTCTAAGTATCTCAAAGTTTAATTATGGAAGGCTTCCTAATTGGACATGAAAAGAAAAACCATGCCTCTTAGATTGAGCTGCTTGCATGCAGACTTTGAGATTGAGAGTTTCATGAGAAGATGTATTGGTGAGTACTACCAAAGGGAAAAATCTGGAAAGGAGTACTAGTGTATCCTATCCACTAGAGTGTGTGTGTGTGTGTGTGTGTGTGTGTGTGTGTGTGTGTTCAAAGACACAAAGGAGAACAAACTAAGAACAAAGCAAGCAAAAAGAATACAGAGCCAGAGAAGAGAGACAGAAAGGGAGGAGAGAGAAAGAATAAACATTCATTTAAGGATTTGCAAATGCCTCAGTATGGTGGAAATGCCAGATATGGTAGGAAACTAGCTATGAATTTAGGGGTAAAAGTGGCCAGGTCCTGAAAGGCTGTACCTGCCATGGAAAGAGCTTTAGAATTTATCCCAAGGAAATAGGTAGGAAAATGGGAGGCTTTAAGCAGGTGTTAATAAGCAGGATTTAAGACATGTTCTAATTTGTGTACAGTGTTGACAACAGACTGTATATAAGGGGAAAGACTCAAGGTTATAATAGTGGTTATAATAGTTTAAAAGGAAAATATGATGTCCTAAACTAAAGGTATTGATAGAGAGAATGGAATCAGTGGAAAGACTTGAAAGGTAGGAAGGAAAAACAGGATTTGGTGATGGACTGAACATGGGACTGGAGAAGGCAGGCCAGTGGTGATTTCTGACTTTGAACTGGATGAATGATGTTGCCATTGACAGAGATGAGCATCCAGAGGGAAGAAGTTCTGGAATACGCAGATGAAGACGTTTTCAATGAAAAGTTGGATATGCGCATCTCTGGGCCAAGGAGAATGATTTGGGTAAGTAACTTAAAGAAAACAACAGAAACAATCAGAATATATGAAAACAATTTAGGAATGATATAAAAAACAAAAACACTGAACGAGCACTTAAGGTTAACTTAGGTTAACACTAAATTATAAAAGCTGTGAAGGAGATTATGAAGAAATTATTCCTTTTTAATTGATAAAAAGGATTTGTAAAAACTGTGAAAACTGACTCCTTACCTCTCTCTCCTTTCTGATAAGATAGCTCTTTGAAAAAAAATTACTTACAAACATAATTGTGCTACTTAAGTGATTAATTTAAATACCTAATGGTCTCATCACTCTTTTTTGTCTCTCACATTTCTTTCTTTGTCTGTCAGAATCTTAATCTCAAGTGTATCTCAAGATTCATTCTTGGCTCTCTATTCTTTTTCCTCAGGACCATTTCTTGGTTTATTTCATCTACTCTCAATAATTTAGCCATTTTATACACTTGGGTTGAAACATATACATTGCTATATGTAAAATTAGATTGCTGGTGGAAATTTACTGTATGATGCAGGGAGCTCAAATCTGGTGCTCTGTGATAACCTAGAGGGGTGGGATGGGGTGGGAGGTGAGAAGGAGAGGGGTATATCCCTTCAGGATAGGGATATACATATAACTATGGCTGATTCATGTTGATATGGCAGAAGCCAACACAACACTGTAAGTCAATGATACTTCAATTAAAAATAAATAATTCAGTAAAAAAAAGAAGCTTGAAATATTTCCAGCTCTGACACAGTTTCTGAGGCTCAGGCTCACATCTTGAGCTACCTAAAGAATATAGCCATTGGGACGTCTCCTGAAATCCTAATTTAATTTATCATCTTCCCCCAAACTTTCATTTCTATATTCTTAGTAAAGCTAAGAGCACCAGAATCCATGCAATTATCTGCGTCAGAAACCAGAGAACATACAGACACTTCCCTTTTCCTCACCTCCACAGTCAGCCAATCACCACATTCTTATAATTGTACCTCTTTTTTTTTAATTGATAAACTTCACTTTTAGAGCAGCTTCAAGTTCACAGAAAAACTGAGTGGAAAGTACAGAGACTTCCCATTATCCAATTCTCCCTAGTCCAAGTACACAATCACCCCCCACTATTTACATTCTGCACCACAGTGGAACATTTGTTACAATTCATGAAACTCCCATGACATATTCTTATAACCTAGTCTATAGTTTACATTAAGATTCACCCTTGGTATTGTAAATTCCATGGGTTTTGACAAATAATGTCATAAGCTGACCTCCGCTTATGTGTTATACAGAATAGTTTCACTGCCCTAATACTCTCCTGAGTCATACCCATTCATCCCTCTGTCTCCACTAACCTCTGGAAATCACTGATCTTTTTAGTGTCTCCATAGTTTTTCCAGAATGTCATATCATTGGGATCATATAATATGTAACCTTTTCAAATTGGCTTCTTTCACTCAGCAATATAGAGTTAACATTCCTCCAAGTCTTTTCATGGCTTGATAGCTCGTTTTATTTTAGAGCCAAGTAATATTTCATTGTCTGGATGTATCACAGCTTATTTATTTATTCATCTACTGAAGGACATATTGATTGCTTTCAAGTTTTGGCAATTATGAATAAAGGTGTTATAAAAAACCTATGTGATAATGGTATGAACATAAATTCTCACCTCCTTTGGGTAAATACCAGAGAGCACAATTGCCAGATTGTTTGTCAAGATAATGTTAGTGTTGTAAGAAAAAAGCAAACTGTCTTCCAAAGTATCTGTACCATTTAGCACTCAGAGCTGCAGTGAATGAGCATTCCTGCTATTCCACAACCTTGCCAGATCTGGTATTGTAAATGTTCTGGATTTGGGTCATTCTCACAGCTGTGTAGTGGTATTTCATTGTTGTTTTAATTTACAATTCCCTGATGAAGAAATGATGCTGAACAACTTCCCATATGCTTAGATGTATATCTTCTTTGGAGAGGTGTCTGAATTCAGATCTTTGGCTCATCTTTAAACAGACTTTATTCATTTTTTTACTGTTGGATTTTAAGAGTTCTCTCTATATGCTTTGGATGAAAGTGAAAGTGAAAATGAAGTTGCTCAGTTGTGTTCGACTCTTTGCGACCCCATGGACTGTAGCCTACCAGGTTCCACTGTCCTTGGGATTTTCCAGGCAAGAATACTGGAATGGGTTGCCTTTTCCTTCTCCAGGAGATCTTCCCGACCCAGAGATCAAGAGCAGGACTTCGTTAGACGTGACTTCGGCAAATATTTTCTTCCAATCTGTGGCCTGTCTTGTCATTCTCTTGACACTGTCTGTCACAGAGCAGAAGTTTTTGGTTTTTTTTTTTCTAATTTTAATGAAGTCCAGCTTATCAGTTCTTTCTCTCATGGGTTGTGCCCTTGTGCCCTTGGTGTTTTATCTCAAAAAAGGTTATCACCATACCCAAGGTCACTAAGGTTTTCTCTTAAGTTGTCTTCTAGAAGTTCAATAGTTTTGCACTTTACATTTAGTTCTATGATATATCTTGAGTTGATTCTTGTGAAGTGTGTAAGGCTTGTGTCTAGATTCATTTGTATCTTTTCAAATCTTAGCATCATCATATTGATTACTATTTTCTGAGCCATTGCTTTATCAACCTTATCTTGATTGTTACATGATCCACTTAATCTTGTCCTCTCCAAACTCATCTTCCACCCTGTAACCACAGTAATCTATTCAACAAGTGAATCATACCATATGACTGTTTGAAGCCCCCTCTGCCTGCCTCCTTGGCTGTGTGGCACTGGAACGGTGAGCAGCCAAGAGAAGATACCCTACATCCAAGTCAGTAGTGAAGGCTGTGAGGAGATACCCCAGGTCCAAGGTAAGAAGCAGTGGCTGCACTTTGCTGGAGCATCCATGAAGAGATACCCCACGTCCAAGGTAAGAGAAACCCCAGTAAGACAGTAGCCGCTGAGAGAGGGTTTCAGAGGGCAGACGGAGACCACAATCACAGAAAACTAGCCAGTCTGATCACATGAACCACAGCCTTGTCTAACTCAATGAAACTAAGCCATGCCGTGTAGGGCCACCCAAGACAGACGGGTCACAGTGGAGAGTTCTGACAAAATGTGGTCCACTAGAGAAGGGAATGGCAAAACACTTCAGTATACTTGCCGTGAGAACCCCATGAACAGTATGAAAAGGTAAAAAGATAGGACACTGAAAGATGAACTCCCCAGGTCAGTAGGTGCCCAATACGTTACTGGAGATCAGTGGAGAAATAACTTCAGAAAGAATGGAGGGAGGGATGGAGCCAAAGCAAAAACAACACCCAGCTGTGGGTGTGACTGGTGATAGAAGCAAGGTCCAATGCTGTAAAAAGCAATATTGCATAGGAACCTGGAATGGCAGGTCCATGAATCAAGGCAAATTGGAAGTGGTCAAACAGGAGATGGCAAGAGTGAATGTCGACATTCTGGGAATCAGCGAACTAAAATGGACTGGAATGGGTGAATTTAACTCAGAGGACCATTATATCTACTACTGTGGGCAGGAATCTCTTAGAAGAAATGGAGCAGCCATCATACTCAACAAAAAAGTCCAAAATGCAGTCCTTGGATGCAATATCAAAAATGACAGAATGGTCTCTGTTCGTTTCTAAGGCAAGTCATTCAATATCACAGTAATCCAAGTCTATGACCTGACCAGTAACACTGAAGAAGCTGAACGGTTCTATGAAGACCTACAAGACCTTCCAGAACTAACATCCCAAAAAGATGTCCTTTTCATTATAGGGGACTGGAATGCAAAAGTAGGATGTCAACAGATACCTGGAGTAGCAGGCAAGTTTGGCCTTGAAGTACAAAATGAAGCAGGGCAAAGACTTTGTTTTGCCAAGAGTACGCCCTGGTCATACAAACATCCTCTTCCAACAGCACAAGAGACGACTTTACACATGGACCTCACCAGGTGGTCAATAGTGAAATCAGATTGATTATATTATTTGCAGCTAAAGATAGAGAAGCTCTATATAGTCAGCAAAAACAAGACCAGGAGCTGACTGTGGCTGAGATCGTGAACTCCTTATTGCAAAATTCAGATTTAAACTGAAGAAGGTAGGGAAAACCACTAGGCCATTCAGGTAGGACCTTAATCAAATCATTTATGATTATACAGTGGATGTGACAAATAGATTCAAGGAATTAGATCTAACAGAGTACCTGAAGAACTCTGGATGAAGGTTTGTAATATTGTACAGGGGGTGGTGATCAAAACTATCCCCAAAAAAAAGAAATGCAAAAGGCAAAATGGTTGTCTGAGGAGGCCTTACAAATAGCTGAGAAAAGAAGAGAAGTAAAAAGCAAAGGAGAAAAAGATATATCCATCTGAATGCAGAGTTCCAAAGAATAGCAAGGAGAGATAAGAAAGCCTTCCTAAATAATCAGTGCAAAGGAATAGAGGAAAACAGTAAAATGAGAAAGACTAGAAATCTCTTCAAGAAAATTAGAGATACCAAGAGAACATTTCATGCAAAGATGGGCATAATAAAGGACAGAAACAGTATGGACCTAATAGAAGCAGAAGATATAAGAAGAGGTGGCAAGAATACACAGAACTATACAAAAAATAATGACCCAGGTAACCATGATGGTGTGACCACTCAGCTAGAGCCAGACATCCTGGAGTGTGAAGTCATGTGGGCCTTCGGAAGCAGCACTGCAAACAAAGCTAGTGGAGGTGATGGAATTCCAGCTGAGCGATTTCAAATCCTAAAAGATGATGTTCTTAAAACGCTGCACTCAATACATCAGCCAATTTGGAAAACACACCAGTGGCCAGAGGACTAGAAAAGGGTCCGTTTTTTCATTNCCAATACTTTGTCCACCTGATGCAAAGAGCTGACTCATTTGAAAAGACTCTGATGCTGGGAAAGATTGAGGGCAGGAGGAGAAGGGGACATCAGAGGATGAGATGGTTGGTTGGCATCACCGACTTAATGGACATGAGTTTGGGTAAACTCCGGAAGTTGGTGATGGACAGGGAGGTCTGGCATGCTGCTGTCCCTGGGGTCGTAAAGAGTCAGACATGACTGCTGACTGGACTGAACTGAACTGAACTGAACTGTCTGCCATTCCTCAAAGGATTTGCTTGAAGGGATTTTAGCAAGATGTCTCTTCCCATCTCTTCCTAGCTCTTTCATTTCAGTTTTTACAACTCCATGCCTCTACATTCTCAGATTATTAAACAATAATCCTTTGCATTAAGGTTCAATTCACATCTTTTTGCATTCATAAATATTATTCTGTTTATTTTTGTCCTCTTCTGACTTTTTTTTTTGGCCACAATGAGAATCCTTCAAAGCTCAACCCCAAGTATCCTTTCCCTAAAAGAGCAATCTCTGGACATACAGCTTATTTTATGTTAAATTCTGAACTCCATCTCTTAGCATTTATAATATTCTATACAATCCTCAATATTAACACCTCATAGACTTTACTGCCATATGTATGTATGTATGTTTTTATGTGTGTCTCTCCTGATAAAATAACAGCTCCTCAAAGGTAGGGACAATGTCCAACTCATGTTTGTAGCTTTCATGCAGTTCCTGGAACAGGATAAATCTTTTGATACATGATGAACTGAGCTGGATAAAGTAAATATGGCCAATGCAGTGCCACTTATGCCATCCCACCTGCACCATTACAAATTGTCTCTTGATCTAAATTTTTACCTTTGGCTCTTGTAACGATGACTGGGAACAGGAGGAAAAATTTTAAAAGGGTAATAACTAAATTCAAATTTAGTAATATCTTCTGCTCTGGCCTTTATTTTCCTCTTAAAGTCCATTGTCATATGCTTGCTTTCTTAAGCAGGAAGATTAATTTAAATGAATGATGCCAGGATGGCTGTTCTCTCAACATCAGAAAGAGACTGAAATCTGGTGGTTGTGCCAAGGACTTGGAGTGAGAAGGCCTGCTCACTATTTCTAGCTTTGACTTCAACTTCCTCAATGTCCTTGAGCAGCTTCCTTAACCTCTCCACTAGCTTGCATTTCCTGTACTATAAAAGGTGCCTATGAGTCGTCCTCACAAGACTCATGGGGATCCTTATTGGAAAGGCAGTACAGAAGTGTCCTTATTCACATCTCTTTGAGAGGGAGGAACCTGGATAACAGCAAAAAGTAAGGCACCCTCCCAAGAGATTAAAATCAAGAAGCAGAGAAAACTTGAAATCAAGTTGGGTGATGAACTGTAAAGCCTATTCTGTTTTTTTAATACTGCGGATGAATTTACTGCCACAAACCAATGTAGATCAGTTCAAAACAAGCAGGCTTTATTTTCCAGTGATTTAAGGCAGGCCAGCCTGTGTGGCCACCCTACAAGCTAACAAAATATGTTTTTGTACGGCAGCATGTATCCTACTTTTATGTTTATACAGTCATGTACAGTAAATTTGCTTAAAAATTATTTTCCCCAAAAATGACAAGTTGTTGAAATTTACTTCTCTTTAATTATACGCTTTTAGCTGCACAACTGAATGCATAAAATCTACTTTGACAAGAGAGAGAGAAAGAGCAAGACCAAAGTGATAAGGATTTCTAATAGGGACAATTAAGAAATTTCTTAAAAGTTATTTTAATGACATAAGTGGTAAAATCTAAGAAAGTTTCCATATGACTTCTTATATAAACATTATAAACCATATTTGTGCAGTTTTGAAGGTTTGCTGTTGCTATCAAAGAAGAAAACAAGAATTCTCAGGACAAGCCACAGTTTGTCAGAAACTAGAAAGATTGTCATAGAAAGCCTAAACTGTGCATTTTCTACACTCTGATTCAGGTACAAGTTCAGGGTACCTTTTAACATCATGGCAAAGTGACATAAGAGTTAAATACTTGTATATTGCTTATAAATATCCTGCAGATTAAGAGAAGCTAGTCATGTCAGGTAGTCTTTTTAAAAATGTTAATAAAGGATGTTGGTTTTTTCTTTTAAGATAGAAAAGACTGTCTTAAATTTAGTTAGAAATTTGAATCCAATTCTTCAAGTTAATTTACACATTCAGGCTCTCTCTTTAGCCCTGTGTCTTTCTATACACTGTTGCCAGAGTTAACTTTTGAAAATACAAATGATAAAATACACTTGGTGGTGAAATAGCTTTGATAGTTATTCATAGTTTGAAGAAAACTATACATTTAGTTTAATAACTGAATTTTTTTTTTAATCTTTTGTAACCTGCTCCTAATCTGACACCCTTGTTTTTATCTTTCAAGGAAGTCCCTTTCTCTACCGGTGAACATTTTTACCACTGTGATCTTATTTCAAGATCCAAATCAAAGCCCATATTTCCATCCTCCTAGGCCTTTCCTTTCTCCAATAGCACATTGTTTACTTCCTATTACAGTTTAATTCCTATTACTTATCATCTTATCTTTATGAGAAATACTCCTAAAGTCTTGTGAGCATAATGTTTACAACACATAATACTCACAATTCATTGAAAGTAATAATTCAATCTACTTGGAGAAGATTATGTCTGAAAAATCCAGTATTTTAAATTGCTGACATAACACTCCATGCTGGGGTATAATACTTAATTCACTCATTGATTCAGTCACTCCTTACTAAGCAATGACTGAATTTGTGCTTGGTCCCTCAGTCATGTCTGACTCTTTGTGACTCCACGGACTGTAGGCTGCCAGCTTCCTCTGCCCATGAGATTTCCCAGGCAAGAATACTGGAGTGGGTTGCCATTTCCTCCTCCAGGAGATCTTCCCAACCCAGGGATCAAACCCTTGTCTCCCAATCTCCTGTATTATAGGCTGATTCTTTACCACTGAGCAATCAGGAAAGCCCAAAGATTGGATAGTTGGGAGTTTTAAGACAAACTTCTTCATAAAATCAAAGATAGCTAGAGATAATGAAATTAAATTGTCCCACATTAGCAAAATTTTTTAAAATGAGAATACTCATTTTTGATGAGATTGATGTGGTTAAACAAATATTCTCATGCACTATTTTCAGAGTATAAATTAATATAATATTTTTGGAATTATGTTTTGTTACATTACTAAAAATCTTAAAATATCAATTTATTTTGGTGTGATAATTCTACACAAACTAATTCATAGTTAGGTAATCACCTGAAATAGAATTTTAAAACTCATGCCACAAAATATGCTGATGTACAAACACACATCCTAAAACTCTGGGAATAAATTAAAAGCCCCATACTATGAAAAAATATTATACAGCTTTAAATTAGAATATATGTAGCAAATTCTTTCCTCTCCCATTTTAGCAATGAGGATACAGAGACTACTCTAATTTCAGTGAATACTTACTGAGCATTCCTATGTAGCAGAATGTTTATGGTATTCTTGTATAGCATTTAACCAAAAAGATGAAAATCTGTGTCCTCAAGTAAATCATTTTATCACAAGAAAAGATTGACAGTACACAGGATAAAGTATGCACACTATGTCATGCATTTTATTGGGCAATTTCATACTCTATTTTACATATACTCAGAACACCACTGTAAAGTATAAACTGAGGCTTAGAGAGGATAAATAATTTGCTCCAAATCACACAGCCAAGAGGTAGCTGGGCTAGCCTTCAAACCTCCATTTATCTAATTCTAAAGCCAACAATTTTTTACCAGTCGGATCTGTGAACTTTAAGGCATTTTTCAGTTCTAGCCTTGGTAAACCTCACCTTGGAATATGAATCCAATCCAAGGTCGCTACGGGACTGATTGTTTTAATTAATGATTTTTGGAGAACTGACAGGAAGGGTTGTTCATTTTATCTTTTTAATTATGTTTTTCAAAGTGTAAAATTGACCTTAAAGCCCTTAGCCTGGCGATAGATACGCCAGCCATTGGAAAGGTGGCCTTGGAATTAAATAAAACAGTTCTCTAGTACGGCTGTAGAGTTGCAACTTAATGAGAACATTTATATAAGCTTTTGGAGTGAACTCAGTGCTCACTGGAAATCTACTGTATTCAGTTTTTGCTTTTAATACACACTAATAACTCACAGTCCCCCTAGGAGAGCTTGAGAATTTGGCATAAAATAAATCATATGGAATTACTGTCTCTGGATTCATTCCTGATTGTCACAGTTAACAAATTATTGATCCTAAGAATTGTTTATCAAAGGCAAAGTTGGCAGAAAAGTGCAAAAATATGCCATCATTCAAAATTTAATGATGTAAACAGTGAGATTTACTCCAGTCTCACCAGGCTAACTTGCCAGTTTATGGCCTGCGCCAATCATAATAAGCAAAGCTGACCTCATGCCAAGATGCTGGAGAATAAAGTCAAGTCTATTACAAGGTTTACATTCTATAATTTTGTATTAGGTTGCTCTACTCTTTCCCCATGTAAACAAATGAATTTTTTCACATATGAGGTATATTCAATTCAGAAACTGAATTAGATAAGCATTTGGCTCAGACTGTACAGCTGTTTATGTTCTGAGTATAACCAGTTAAAGCCTTGAGTGTTCTTTTGAAAGGTGATTAAGGTTTTTTTCCGAAAGATGTCACTGAGAACAATATAGTTTAATATTTTGGCATTACCTTTTCAAAAGTACACAGGAGAAATTCTGACTTCAAATTCACTAACCTGATTACAGAAACATATAAAGAAAAGAACTCGTCACTGATAACTGTCCTTTGTTGTGTTCAGTCGCTAAGTCATGTCCAACTCTTTACAACCTTTATTTATTTTATTAACTGTGCTTTATTAACTTTCAAATTTTGGTAGAAATCATCCTATAAGAAAAGCATTGTAACTCAGAAATATCAAGAGAGGATATTAGCTTCTTTAAATTCTGTTTTTTCCTAGTAATAATTTTAATATATTCATTTACAATGCCATACTAATGATCAAAATATTTTTTTCTATAATGAAAGACAGCCCTCCCCAGAATAAATTAAATGCCTAAGAAACAATGCCTAGGTACACTTAAGGCTGTTTGTTGAATACAGAATGCCAGCAAATGAGACTGAAAGCACTTGAGGAGTGTTTTATCCCTTTAGGGTAAAAGCTTGTAGAATGATCTTTGATCCACAGTAGAGTAGTACAACAGTTTGATTTTAAGAATTCTTATGTCTTCCAGGTAGGGCTTCATATCATCATACTGTGGTGAGTAAAGGCTGACAAGTTTTAACATGCAGTATTTTAACTAGGGATCAATAGTTTCAAAATGGGTAAAATACTTCTTTCTCTACTTTTATCTACATATTTCCTTTCCAAAACAAGTTGGCAAGAGTTGAATTTTTTTCATCGTCTATTCCAAAAAGAAACAGGTTATATGTGGTTACTGACCTCAACTCAAATTTCAAAATGCAGTGCAAAGGTTACTGTTTAATTATTAATATCAGAATAGCTCCTAAACTCAACCAAGAAAAGTTGTGTATTTCTTAGTTTCACTCATGTGACCAGAAAATATTTACAACTTGATTCATTTCAATTCAGTTCAACAAATATTTATTGAACAACAAGGACATGCCAACCATTGTGCTAACCACTGGAGTGTGAAAGCACAAAAATGAATCTATTACCTCAGCCATTAAAATATGACTAGCAGTGGGAATGAATTTAAGGTTAAAAACAGCTTAGATTTCTCTGTGATGTCTTATTATCATAAGAAAAATAGGTCTCTTAGAATTTTTTTGTTTTAAAATGTATGAGAGAAAAAAATTTTAAATAAATCTTCCAAATAGAATGATTAATCATGCATTTAGAAACTGTTTACTTTGTCCAAATAAGCCAAAAGTAGAAAATGAAAATGAAAAACAGAGTGGAAAAACATTCATGGTACTAAGCTATTATTGTCACTCAAACTGGAATATAAAATTTCAAAAATTTATTTTAGGTTAAAAATCACATATAAATATTAAACAAATATTATGCCTGTAATTTGAATGGTATTTTTCTTAATATTCTATAAATAAATAAGTTCTATATGTTAGCAAACTGAATAGAAATTTTTTTCACTGTGAATATTTGGGGGGTTATATGGAACATTAAAAATACTGGTGAAGGCTTGATGACGGGCATGTGGAGCCACGGAGGCGGTGCCCGGGAGTCGGAGTAGGAGTCGTGGTGACCAGCTGCAGGCATCCTCGCTGTGTCCTCCTGAGGAGGAGGAAAGGGTCGTTTGTAGCCAGGGGTTTCCAACTTCCCAGGGGCCACTTGGAGTTCGGTGAAAGCTGGGAAGAATGTGCTTAAAGGGAAACCTGGGAAGAAGGGGCTCTTCACCTGAAAAATGTTCACCTTGCCTCGGTTGTAAATTCTTTTGTTGAGAAAGAGAATCACCATTATGTCTCTATTTTAATGAAAGGAGAGGTGGACCTGACTCATGATTTAGAACCAAAGAATGCAGAAGCTGAAAAGAATGAAAGTTGGGAGTGGGTTCCTTGGAAAGAATTTCCTCCCCTGGACCAGCTTTTCTGGGCATTACGTTGTTTAAGGGAACAAGGCTATGACCCTTTTACAGAAGATTTGGATCATCTGGTAAGATATAAAGGAAGTCACCTAGAGGTGAACAAGCAGACTCACTGAGTTTTGGGGGGGTTTTTTGTTGTTGTTATGAATTGGCCAAAAAATTCACTTGGTGTTTTTGTATGATGACTGTAGTAGTGCTCAGTTGTCTCTAACTTCACTGGAAACAATTCTGTAAGACTGTAGTGTGACACTTGTCACAGCAAGGTGCATTTTTTAAAAGAAACTTGTCCAAATTGGTCAATTTGGCGGCAGCCATTGGCTCAGAGGGCAAAGCATCTGCCTGCAATGCAGGAGACCTGGGTTCAATCCCTGGGCTGGGAAGACCCCCTGGAGGAGGAAAGGGCAACCCACTCCAGGATTCTTGCCTGGAGAATCCCATGGATGGAGGAGCCTGGTAGGCTACAGTCCACTGGGTCACAAAGAGTCGGATATGACTGAGCGACTTCACTTTCACTATCTTTAATATTGAAGATGGAAGGGAAAAAGCAACAATTTTGGCATACTGATACAAAAGCAACTGATACAAAAAAAAAAAGATTTGTGCAGAGTATGGAGAAGGTGCTGTGACTGAGCAAATGCATCCAAAGTGGTTTGCAGGTGTCAAAAGTCTCGTGCTGGAGATTTCTCTCTGTATGATGCTCCACAGTCAGGTAGACCAGTTGAAGTGGATAGCAATCAAATCGAGACATTAACTGTGAGCAATCAACATTACACCACACGAGAGATAGCCGACATACTCAAAATACCCAAATCAAGCACTGAAAATCATTTGCACCAGCATGGTTATGTTAATCACTTTGACGTTTGGGTTCGACTTAAGTTAAGCCAAAAGAACATTTTTGATCATAATTTCCACGTGTAATTCTCTACTGAAACGTAATGAAAGTGTTCCATTTTTAAAACAAACTGTGACAGGCAATGAGAAATGGATACTGTTCAATAATATGGAATGGAAGAGATCATGGGACAAGCAAAATGAACCACCGTCAGCCACACCAAAGGCCAGTCTTCATTCAAAGAAAGTGATGTTGTGTATATGGTGGGATTGAATGGGAGTCCTCTATTACGAGCTCCTTCCAGAAAACCAATCAGTTCCAAGAAGTACTGCTCCCAGTTAGACCAACTGAAAGCAGCACTCAATGAGAAGCGTCCAGAAGCAGTCGACAGAAAATGCATACTTTCATCAGGATAACGCAAGACCGCATGTTTCTTTGATGACCAGACAAAAATCATTACATCTTGGCTGGGAAGTTCTGATTCCTCCACTATATTCCCCAGACACTGCACCTTCAGATTTCCATTTATTTCAGTCTTTACAAAATTCTCTCAATGGAAAAAATTTCAGTTCTCCGGAAGACTGCAAAAGGCACCTGGAACAGTTCTTTGCTCAAAAAGATAAAAAGTTTTGGGAAGATGGAATTATGAAGTTGCCTGAAAAATGGCAAAAGGTAGTGGAACAAAATAGTGACTACATTGTTCAGTTCTTGTTGAAAGTGAAAAATGTGTCTTTTATTTTTACTTAAAAACCAAAAGAAATTTTGAGCCAAACCAATACGTAAAAGGCAAATAAGGTCCTGTTAAAGAATGAAAAATATCTATATTTCAAAACAACTCCATTTTATCTGAAAAGTCCCACATGATGGCCAGTTTATTTGAAGTATCAACATACCCAACACCTTTTCATTCAGTACTTGTAAAAATGTTTCAGACTGTGTCATGAATTGTGTATCAGATTCAGAAAATGTGATAATTGGTGATGTTGTAAATGGTAATTCTGCTTTCTGTATTTCTCTGTGGTATTGATTGTACTGTCAGTGTGTGTGGAGGAGAGTGCAGTATAATTTGTCTTAGTGTTTCAGTTCTAGTAGAGATCCTAATTCAAGTGCTAACACAGTATTTCATTGCAGAATTTATCACATTTGTTGGTTTTCCTCTTCTGTTTTATTTAAAACAATTTGTTGTTGTTATATTTTGACAGTTCCTGCAACTACAGCAGGCAGGACAGGTGATTAGGGTGTATTTCTGATTGGGAACCTAAACCTAGGGAAGTGAGATAAACCATCCAAGATCTGTATCCCATTGTTAACAGCCTTACCATTTTGGATCTCAGTTATCTCTCTGGAGATTCAAATTCCTTATATGTAAAATGTGATCAGACTAGAGCAGTGGTTCTCATTACGGCCCGGAGAAGTCCTCAAGACCCTTTCAAGTATCCTCAGGGTCAAAGTCGGTTTTGTCACACAAAGACATTGTTTGCTTTTTTCATCCTCATTCTTTGCTGAGCAGAGGAGTTTTCCAGAGACTGCATGTTGTAGGTTACTCTAGTAGAATGACTGCAAAGCAGATATGAAAATCTAGCTCTCTTCTAGTAAGCTACATGTGGAAGAAATTGATAAAAATGTAAAACAATGCCATGCTTCTCACTTTTTTTTAAAGGAAAACATCTATATTTTTTATAAAAATTACGTTAACATATAACAGTTTTGTGTTATGGGTTTTTGTTATTTGTAAATAAATTAATAAAAGAATTCTTAAAATTTAAAAGAAAACATATAAAAAAGATACTGGTGAAAGTTATGGGTCACATTTGCATAAGTTCAGCATACCATTTTTCAGGGTCCCCTCAGGTCTTTCCATAAGCTTCTAAGGATTACAAACCCTGCTTCAGACATTAACTCTCACATTCACCCTGACATTGATTATGACACTTGATAGCTGCTGTCATACTTTTTCAATATGTTTCAATATTGATGTCTTATTCATCAATTTCATTAGTAGGGTGTTCTTTGTTTCTTATGGTCCAGCCTAATGTCGCTTACTTGCCTTAGAAATACTTGTTGTCGCACTCCAATCATCTTAATATCATGTTCTACCTGATGTTCACATCATTCAGAGCCACTTTCCAAGACAAGCCAGCTTGATATTTCTCAGTGTGGCTAATATTTCCAACCCCATAGCCTTTTAAGGCACTGTGCGTATGTGTGCTTAGCCGCTCAGCTGTATCTGACCCTTTGCGACCCCATGGACTGTAGCCCACCAGGCTCCTCTGTCCATGGGAATTTTCCAGGAAAGAATACTGGAGTGGGTTGCTATGCCCTTCAAGACACTGTAATGATTACAAATTTGTATTTGATTGATAACATTGGTAACAATGACAAATTGACTGGACATGGGACAAACTGAAGGCAAGAAGATTATTTAGAACTCTATTTCCATTATTTCAATTTGAAAGACAGAACTGGAACAAGGGCAATTCTGGACTCAAAGTTGTTGGCTCTTCTACCATCACGATCCTACCACTCACTAGGTTTCATCTCCTGATTTCTGGCTATCTTGTTTACCTTTTAGGTACCAGATGGTCTTAATCTGGTACAATTGCAAAGCCTGTATTCTACCAGTTCATTAACCTTTTCCATGTCCCTTTAATTTTTGGCTTTGCCTTTTCTCTAGACCAATTTTTTGTCTTGAAAAGTGTTGACTGTTGATTTCCTAAAATGGCTGGCATGAAATAAATAGTGGTAAATTAGCTTATACTAGAATTCTGCACAAAGAGAACTTCTGAACTCCCTTTTATGGATTCTAAATATAAATTTTCCAGTATTAAGAGATAACACATATGTAGTAGGCTATGGTCTGCATCCATGCGTGCATACTAAGTCGCTCAGCCATGTTTGACTCTTTGTGAACCCATGAACTGTAGCCCATCAGGCTCCTCTGTCCATGGACTCTCCGGACAAGAATACTGGAGTGGGTTGCCGCGCCCTCATCCAGGGGATCTTCCTGACGCAGGGCTCAAACCCTGTATCTTACATCTCCTGCACTGACAGGCAGGTTCTTTACCACTAGCGCCACCTGGGAAGACTAGGGTAACTTCTGCTTTATTTACCCAGGATGCCCTATCATTCCTCTACTATGAGAAACAATAACTTCTTTCCTTTGGGGAACTTCTGATCTCCAAGAGATTTGAGTAGAATTTTCAATCACAGTAACATACACTTCGTCTCCAGCAGCCGTGTCAATGGACAGGTTACTCAGTTTGGCCAATCAAGCTATTCCCAATTCAAGAATGCCCTCTGAAGCCAAACAGTGTCTATCTAAAACAGTGATCCCCTCAAAAAGTCCTGTTAGAGACAGCACAAAAGGCTTTCTTTCTCAAGGGGTCAGTATACGGAAAGGAAAAAGCCTGGAGACACTTGCTGACATCTCACCCTAGCCATAAGATAACAAGAGGGAATTAGGTCATTCATCAATTTCATTAGTAGGGTGTTCTTTGTTTCTTATGGTCCAGCCTAATGTCGCTTACTTGCCTTAGAAATACTTGTTGTCGCACTCCAATCATCTTAATATCATGTTCTACCTGATGTTCACATCATTCAGAGCCACTTTCCAAGACAAGCCAGCTTGATATTTCTCAGTGTGGCTAATATTTCCAACCCCATAGCCTTTTAAGGCACTGTGCGTATGTGTGCTTAGCCGCTCAGCTGTATCTGACCCTTTGCGACCCCATGGACTGTAGCCCACCAGGCTCCTCTGTCCATGGGAATTTTCCAGGAAAGAATACTGGAGTGGGTTGCTATGCCCTTCAAGACACTATAATGATTACAAATTTGTATTTGATTGATAACATTGGTAACAATGACAAATTGACTGGACATGGGACAAACTGAAGGCAAGAAGATTATTTAGAACTCTATTTCCATTATTTCAATTTGAAAGACAGAACTGGAACAAGGGCAATTCTGGACTCAAAGTTGTTGGCTCTTCTACCATCACGATCCTACCACTCACTAGGTTTCATCTCCTGATTTCTGGCTATCTTGTTTACCTTTTAGGTACCAGATGGTCTTAATCTGGTACAATTGCAAAGCCTGTATTCTACCAGTTCATTAACCTTTTCCATGTCCCTTTAATTTTTGGCTTTGCCTTTTCTCTAGACCAATTTTTTGTCTTGAAAAGTGTTGACTGTTGATTTCCTAAAATGGCTGGCATGAAATAAATAGTGGTAAATTAGCTTATACTAGAATTCTGCACAAAGAGAACTTCTGAACTCCCTTTTATGCATTCTAAATATAAATTTTCCAGTATTAAGAGATAACACATATGTAGTAGGCTATGGTCTGCATCCATGCGTGCATACTAAGTCGCTCAGCCATGTTTGACTCTTTGTGAACCCATGAACTGTAGCCCATCAGGCTCCTCTGTCCATGGACTCTCCGGACAAGAATACTGGAGTGGGTTGCCGCGCCCTCATCCAGGGGATCTTCCTGACGCAGGGCTCAAACCCTGTATCTTACATCTCCTGCACTGACAGGCAGGTTCTTTACCACTAGCGCCACCTGGGAAGACTAGGGTAACTTCTGCTTTATTTACCCAGGATGCCCTATCATTCCTCTACTATGAGAAACAATAACTTCTTTCCTTTGGGGAACTTCTGATCTCCAAGAGATTTGAGTAGAATTTTCAATCACAGTAACATACACTTCGTCTCCAGCAGCCGTGTCAATGGACAGATTACTCAGTTTGGCCAATCAAGCTATTCCCAATTCAAGAATGCCCTCTGAAGCCAAACAGTGTCTATCTAAAACAGTGATCCCCTCAAAAAGTCCCGTTAGAGACAGCACAAAAGGCTTTCTTTCTCAAGGGGTCAGTATACGGAAAGGAAAAAGCCTGGAGACACTTGCTGACATCTCACCCTAGCCATAAGATAACAAGAGGGAATTAGGTCGATTTATGAAGAGTTTCCCCAGTGGCTCAGAGGTTTTACCACCTGCAATGAAGGAGACACAGGTAAGATTTGTGGGTCAGGAAGATCCTCTGAAGGAGGAAATGGCTACCCACTCCAGTATTCTTGCCTGGGAAATC